ATACGTTGTCACCGACCATCGACCCTTGCCATACCGATGTTTTCCCATCGTCGAATCGATTCAACCGGTTGATTCAACGTCGATTTTAGCCTAATACGATTAGGTCATCGAACGAGCCGCGATTCTTATCCTGGTTCGTAAATTTGATAAGAAAACGCTTCAGCGCTTAGATGTCCGATAATTTATTAGTCGTTTATATCGTTTATTTTCGCTTACGCTTAAAAACTTGACAACGTTTCCGAGAGAAAAGCTTCGATAAATTAAAAATTTGTCGAACGCCTATGCGTAATTCGAGAATCGAGACGATTTTATTTGTTAACAAATGCTAAATAATTTCGTGTACTGAACGATCCGTAGCGCCGAAAAGATCAAAAATATCCGATCGTCGAATCACGAACGTTTCGTATTTCGATAATACGACGCTGCCAAAATTTTATGGCACTCCGCCATAAACGTTTGAAAAAGACATCGGGCTGGACCTTCGAAAGACTATGGGTCGATTGAAAAAGAAAGATTTGCGTAATAAACGTTGCGTACCAGATGATCATCGATCGGTGGATGATTCGTTGCGATGCTACTCGCGACGTCTTAGGTACATCTGTGTCGGCGTACCGATCGTCGTGTCACGTTTGATCGACATTCCCCGAATTGCGACCGGGATGCCGCGAATCCCTTTAGTCTGCGCGAATCTCGCGCTCGGAATGACGCTTCAGGAGCGATTATGCGACGCCTCGGTGCTGGCGACTCGAAACTCGCTGCCCTTATCGCTCGATGCGTGTCACCGAGTATTATGGAACTCGACAGAATTTCCCGTGGGATTGGGTCTGGCTGATGTAAGACGGCTGAGATTACCTTCCTCGAGAGAGGGATTAAAACATCCGCCGTGTTCAACGTCGCTGATAGCCGGTTCATTTGCAGGGGGAGGGGTGTGTGCGTGTGTGTGTGTGTGCGTTTGGAGAAGATAAACGGCGCGAGATTGTCGCGAGTCTACGAACTAAGGAAAACTGTGAAATCGGCTAAGACCACGCGTAGTTTCATCGCCCGTCGTTCTACGTTTCGTTCGTTTCTCTTTGCAACTTTCTTAAAACGAACAAATAGTCTTGCGAAGTACGGCCAGCGATCTACCGTGTTAATGGTCTTGAGCGGTTAAGATCCTCGGAACGATCTTAGGTTTAATTCAGCCACTACTCGGCAGAGAGAAATCGATTCATCGCGGTTGAAGGAAAAAGTCGATGGGTTACTCGGTCGTTTGGTGTTCCTATTCTGATACGGTTGGACGAACGCGCACAATGGGCACAAGCGCGGAAATGAAAATGGAGTCCGTTCGATCATCGCCGGAATTCGTGAACGACACTTTCGATGAAATCGGTTACCTCCGTTGCGAGTCGGAAACGAGCGTCTCCCTTAACCAATAGACAGAGAAGGGTCGAAGGGTTAATCGCGTATTCCATGAAAATAGTACGGCGTAACCACGTGCGATCGCTGGAATCGTTTCTCTTTCAACGAGAACAATCTTACAAACGAGATGTGATTCCAAGATTAAAGAGCCCGATAACGGCTCGACGTGAACAAATCGGATAAGTGAGAAGTACTAATTTGAAGAAGCGACTGCTTACAATTGTATGGAATGTAGAGAAGAGGAAGAGGGAGAGAGAGAGAGAGAGAGAAGGGTGTGGTGCAGTACGAGGACAAAATCGACGGTCGTTGACTTTGCCTCGAGAATCGCTAATGCACTTGACGACTTGCCGAGTCTGCCTCGAAGGTGAGTTTATACGCGGGAGAAAGTTTGGAGAAGCCCGTACGACTCGCGAGTATTCCCCGTTTTCGTCCGGTGAAACGCTCTCGTGGAATTTTGCAACCCTTGGTTCCGAGAAGTTTGACCGCGTCGAGGCACCGTCTTTCAGGAAGCTCCGTTGTCAGCGTATAATATACGCATTTGCATGGAACGCGCTTCTTTCACCGCATTGACAGCGGCGACGAAAATGAAAAATACGCTTTCCATCGTCGACTATTCGCTGCATATACGGTACGCGAACCGAATGACACAGTTGTGTGCACGAAATCCGATGCTTAACCGTGTATGCGAATATACGGAAGTTACTTTTCAAGCTGAAGCGGGTTTTCAGCTTGTCACCCGTGTATTATCCGCCTTGTAAAAACCTGGCTTGTCGGATAATTAGGCGCGCAGGTGGCATTTAATTACTCGGCGAACGAAAGTCCTTTTCGCATTTCCATTTGCCGCTTCAACGGCTCTTCTTCGTTTAAAGGCGATCAACCAGTACGTTCATCTTGGTTTCAACAAAATTCAAAAGCGAATCGCGAAGAAAGACGAGATCTTCGAACGAACCAGCCAAATAGATTTGGAGCGTGTACGTAGACTTGGCAAACGGAGGATGCTGACCTCGGTTAGGCAATTTAATAAATCGGAGATCGTTTCAGCCTCTCGACACGCGCAAGCTACTAACTTTTCCTTCTTTTCTTTCCGATCGTGTCTTGTTTTCCGGCATGGCGAAACAAAGGCAACGTAACTTCGAGAAGAACGAGCCTATCGATCGTCTAGCCGATCCCAGCAAGTCGATATTTTGCATAATACTCCTGGTTACCCCTGTTTCGTTGTTCCGATAAACTTGTTGGTCGCTTGGCGAAAATGGCGTTGTTTGGCGCGTCGTGGAAGCAGTCGGCGATGGTTCCTCGCATTCGCCGCAACGAGGATGTATTACCGCCGTTATTGTTATCGCGGGAATCGGTAGGAGGTAGGAATCGGTAGAGGAGGAAAACGAGGGCTGGGAGGGGCGTCGGGACGCTGCCGGAGGAGGTTGTCGAGCAGCTGCGGCCGATGTCCGCCGGTCGGGGCTTGCAAATACGACGCACATGTAGTATCGGCGAATATTCGGCCGCGGCAGTTGCGCGGCGAACGTGCACGAAAGCGGTCGCGAAACGCGCTCCGTCTCGACGTTTTCGCGCGTTCTTTTCTCCCTGTTGCCCTTCCGTTTTACCGGTCGCGAAACGTCGTTCCATCTACGAGTAGTACGAGGCAAACGGTTGCGAACGTAGACGCTTCGAGAAAGAAACGGAAACAGCGGCGATAATTCTGTGAAGAAAGGCGAGGCCAAGACTGAAGGGTCGTTTAAATTTAGCGAAGAAGCGCAGAAGGAGTCGACGAGACGAGAAACATCGTCGAGTATCGAGTTTGCACTTCGTTTCGATGGAACGCGTAAAGTCGAGCGTGAATGTCACTTTGATTTTCAAGTTTCGATGCAAGTTCTCGGTGCATTCGTCGAATGGTGAAGTGGAAGCGATTTTAGTTGGCGAAATAGTCGTATTTCGAGACGATATACGGCTGAACGATCGTTCGGCTGTGCAACGAATCGCCTCGCGTCGGAACACCGGTAGTCGAGGTTGAAAATGATCCGCGCGACGAAGATTCCCGGAGGTATAAAAACACTCGGGAGAATCGAAAAACCGCCGTGATTCGCGGTTGAATCGGGGAAGCAATTAAAAATCCTTGGAACAACGTTATCGGACACGGACAACCACGAAACCCGAGTTCCGCGAAGAAAGAAACGAAAAATTCGAAAGTCTGTAGCGCGCGTCAACGTGGCGTCGCAAGGAATCTCATCGAGAATCGAAGAACCTTCTATTTTCCGCGACGTTGGTCACGTCCAGAGCGCGAGCCACGATATAATCGTTCGCAATCTTATCGCGGTAACTTTGCAGCGAGGAAACGCAGCTGGCCCGTTCGATTTTCTTCTATTACGAGTTCGCGCTGCTTCTTCGAGACTACCACGGAGACCGATACGAACGAGGGGAACGAGAGAAAAGAAGGTTACTCGACGTGTCCCGATTGAAATTAACGTCACGTCCGCAGCTCCCCGCGTTCTTCTACGCTTTGTTCGCGACCACTCACGTTGGCCGAGCGATTTCGCTGTTTTATACAAAATTCACTGTCCTCTCTGAAATCGTCGTCCCTTCTCGCGTAGGTCGCTCCGCAGGTCATCCTACCAACGTCCGGACTGAGTTTCTTTCTTCCGCCTCGAGTAGAATAACCGAAATTCCTGCTCATCGACGTTTTCTATCCTTTCGCTCGTCTTTTTTCGACCTTCTTCCTCTCCTCGGTAATAGACTCGTCTCGGTGGTCGCCGTTTCGCAAGGACTCGGTTTTCGTTGAAAACGCAAGGATTCAGCTTCCGCAGAAAACGCAAGGATATCACGGTTATCTTCGATATTTACTTTTTGGCTGAATTTTCCTTCCTTGGTTCTCTCGTCGAAATTCTCGTAGAATCAGATTATCTTCCAACTATACGAGCCTTCATAAGCTAAACTACGTTGAATCTTTTAGTATTCGTAACGCGCGAACGAAAGATAATTCGATACACAATCGATGCATACTCGATGATTTCGTTTATCGCGACTGTCGAGTACATTCTGTCGCCCGTATATATTCTCTTCTAATCTCGTCGCGTCTTTCACGCTCGACCACGATCTCGATATTCCGTTTGTACGCCAAGTTCGCGTTTCCCCGACTAACGAGGCGTGTTCTCGTTCGATCGTCGCACAGAAAATGTTCGGTTTCCGAGTTCTTATCCGCGAAAGTATCGAAACTTCGTCCCGCAGTTTTCACGTTTGCGGCTTCGTCGTCCACAACCGTTAGTTTCCTTTTCTTTCGTCGCGGCGAGTAGCAGCTTGCAGCCAGTTTTCGTCTATCCTTGATCCGTTCGTTCGTTAAAATCTCGTCGCTACAGGGACCAATTTAATAACTTGGCGAAGCGTATTCGGCGCGTTAATCCGTCGATCGAGAGTGGTTTCGTCGAATACCGTCCGCTCAAACGGACGAGATTCCTTTTCATTGGCAGAAAATCGAGAGACCGGACGAACGAACGTTCTCGATGTTCTTTTTTCACCGCGCGAATCCATCGTGTCTTCTGCCGGTAAATGGAAGCAAAACAAAAGACCGAAATGAAATATGGTGTTTCTCGTTCGGTCGAAATACCACATTCGAACATTCTGTCACGTAACGGCATGCTTCTTTCGTCTTTCCTGACACGCGCGTTTCGACTCGATCCTGTTGCGCGAAATCGCGCTTTGATTCCCCATGATACGTTCTTTCGCAGAGAAGCTACTCGCAAGAGCCGAGGGAACGCGACAAAGTTACCAAAGCCCGTCTCCGAAGTCTGGCAAGTTCCCCGTTATAACGAACTACCTTTCCAGTTGCCTACGACTCATCGACTCGCGGCGATGTCTTTATCGTCTATCGTCTCTCGGATGTTTCGAGCTCGCGCGAAATTACGAGCGACCGGGTAAAGTAGAAGCGTCGCGCTTCAGCCGGTAACTGCCATCGGAGAATCGACTTTTCTCTCGCTTCCTCGACGTTCCGACGCGTAGAACGAAAATTGGCGAATCGCGAAAGCTCGAAGAACGTCGAGATACCATGGAATTCGCCAGGAACGCGCCAAACTCTCTAGTTTCACGCGTGGCGTCGGCGGCGTACGGATGTCGACGAGCCTGCAGCCATTTGTCCTCCGCATCCCCCGGTAATTTCGACGACAGTCGGACCGTGTCAACCTCGCAATTCGAATACCCAACGCCGCTATCACGGTTCGTATCGTAATCGAGGAAACGAATAATCGAGGAAACGTTAAACAGGAAAAAGACAAGGCTGATTCGTTTATCGTTAACTTCTAATTAGTCGCTTTCGCGCGTATTCCCGCAGCGGACTTGCATTTTTCCTTCGAACGAATCTTCTTTTTCACCTACTTTTTCTCTTTAACGATTATCGCCGCGTATAACGTTCGATTTATCTGTAAATTCAACGGATTAAACCGTCGATGATTACAGCTTCTCCGTAATTGCTCGTAATCGTTGGAAATTTATGCTCGCGTATAGAGATACGCGGACACCAATTATAGCGGAAAACGGCGTCGCTCGGATCGTAGCTGTTGTATTCGCGCAACATCTAGTTCGCTCGTAAACGTCTAGAAATTCGCATAACTGCGCGAAATCGTTGACTACGACAGCGATTTTCGACCGTGAAACACGACTCGCGAGTGTGTCGACGAGCTGGAAGGGTTCGTTCGATGCGACTTCACGGATAATTTGTTGGTTTTGAAACGGTTTGCCGGTCTCCGTGGCATCGTATTTGCGAAACTCGTACGAAACTCTGCGAGTTTCACGGGGTGACGTTGCCTCCGTTTAATTTTCCCACGGAACGCGACGTTGTCCGATAAAACGTAGCTTCTTCGCAGAATTATTCCTCCCGATGGTTATTAACGTAAATAGTTTTCGACGAGTTTGCCGTGCAAATTCGAACGAAGCGTCGATAAGGCATTTTCAAAGACCCGCTTGCTTTGTTTAAAAGCAGAGACGAAAGCAAGCTTTTGCGAGCGAAGAGAAAATCGCGATAAATTGACAAAGTTTGGAATTCACGGAAGCAACTCCACCTCCTCCCCAATTACTGGAATTTACCCAATAGTACCACAAACGGTCTTCAGTTTCTTAAGCGCGTTGTTTCGCGGATAAAAAGTTATAGGAAAACGGTTGTTCGATGGATCCGGAGGCAAGAAGCCGCTACGGAGAGAGACAACCCGCCCTTAAACTCTATCGAAAAAGGGCGTATCTGGCGCTGTTCGACGTTGCAAAGTTTCGTAAGAAGATAACGACGGAAGCTAGTGGAAGATGGATCGAATCGATCGATCACGGAATCGCGGCGATCCGAGTACTCTACTCGGATGTCGGATAGCCGAGCGACGCGCACCACCACTACACGTGGCCTACTCGAAGAAGCATGTGCAGAACCAGTATGCAGGGTGTTTGGCGAATTTCAACCGGCACGGCGCAGTGGCAGCAGCGGCAGCGGCTGTATGCGCGTTCTCTGCTTCCTCCTGGCGTGGGTTAATCGGGCTTGCGGCGTCGTCGCCGCTGCTTCCAGCGCTGCTGCCGCCGTGTCTCGCGGACGTTGCTGCGGATGAACGTTCGCCGTCGTGCGTCTGCGTGGTTCGCCCGCTGCTCGCCACGAGATCGGGAACGCGATTTCGAAAGACGGTGCACGGTGAACGCGGCGAGTTCCGTCAGTCGGTTCCTCGACCATCTACCACGAGGGCCGTTTGCTTCGCTGGTTGCAGTGGTTGGATCGCGCGACTCGAGCTTCGAGAACGGCGACGCGCTATCGTCGGATCGAGTCATCCTAGAGGAATTATCGGAAGGAGGAAGAGGACCGACGTAGCAGCATCGAGCAGATGAGTATCCCATTGACGAGACGAGGGAGAACCTGACGATCCACGTTTGTCTGCATGATAGCGAATCGAGCCAAGTATTTGTAAACAGGACGTAAGGGGTGAGCGGTCAGACCGTATCAGAATTTGGACATAGAACGGAACTGAAGCCGCCGTAACCGCGCTGACTAGATCGACGAACAGAGAGCTATAGACATCGATAAGTCGGGGGATTATCGGAAGAGAAGCAGGAAACAGACGAGAGAGAAAAACCGGCCGTAGCACACAGCTGTTTAGCACGAAGCCGAGAATCTCCGACCGTCTTTAGAGCGTACAATCCTCGATAACAAAGAGCGCACCATACTCGCTTTGCGTTGCCTTTTCTCGTTTTCGTCTTTTCTCAGCGAAGACGCATCGATCAAGGCTCGTAAAAGCGGACGACTCTTGGCACGAAAGCCCTTCGATGCAGCTTTATTCATTTCGTTCGCACTTTTCGTCCGCCTTATCTCTCGCTCTGTATCTGTCTCTGTCTGTCTGTCTGTCTGTCTGTCTGTCTCTCTCTCCCTCTCTCTCTCTCTCTTGCTTCTTTCCGTTACACGCGGTCACGCGCCTCGTCTTCTTTTCGTTCGCTTCGTCCTCCCACCGCGATTGCATCAACCACCTGCCTCCTTGCTACTCTGCCGGCTTTTTCGCGCGATACTCTCTTTCTCGTTCGTTTTTTCCACCTCGCCTTCGTCAAAACGATTCGATCGTTTTTTTTATCCTTTGTATTTTCATTCTTCGCTGTTTCATCTTCCTTTCGGGAGTTGCCCGTTCTTTCCTCGTCCAAGAAGAAAAGAAGGTCCATTGGAATCGCGGTCACCACGAAATACCAGCTCTCTCGCGTTCCGCTCCACCTACGATCGAGTTGTCCGGCTTTTCATCGCGCCGAGACCAACGAAAAGGAGACGAAATTCGCTCTCTGTCGCGGAACACAGGCGACGCGTCATTCTCCTTTTTCGTTCGCGCAGGATGCATCGTTTCTGCTCCGGATGTTGCCACATCGCGATGCCGACGAGACCACGACCAAAGGTAATCCTCTTTTCGCTTCTCTATCGATTTGTCAACGCGTGTGTTACTCTATCGGGGAACGAAGTCCGCGTCGAGAGGAACGTAACGAGACGACGACGAGTTTCTCGCGGTCAGCGTGTCTCGCCTCTTTCGAATCCTTTATCCGCGCGCGTTTCACGAGCCCGTTAGGCAGGCTAATTGCGAAATCCTGTACGCGAGGACGAACGTTTCCTCGCTCCGCCTTCAACCTCGCGTTTTACATCCACCACCGCCACAGCCGTCATCGATCTTGCTGACCTTTCCCGCGCTATCCTCTCTCATCGTCCTCGAAAAAAACGCTGCGAGCGAAAGTATTTAGCGAGCTTCCCTCGCCGCTACAGGTTCTTGGATTCGTGAAAATGCCCAAATAACAGTTTCCTGCATGACATGACCTGCCGACTTTGGCTTAATTTCATCGGACGTATTAATTTCGGACTTTGCCTCTCGGAGCAAAGGACATTGCGAACTAAAGTCTTTGTCGTTGATAAGATTTGTGACGCGAGGTAACCACGCGAGAGTCGCAAAGTCGAGGAAAAGACTCGTCCGAACGAGCATGGTTCCGTTAGGGCCACCGACTCGCGATCTTTACCGTCTCGTCGCTTCGCAACACCGACAATTTCCAAACGCACGATTTCTGCTTCTCGCAGAGTCTACCCTCTCGAATCTTCCTCTCCGTACGAGAGTTCGCGTCTCGTAAATTATTCGCAAAGCTCGGAAACTCTCGGGGCTTTCCCTCTTACCAAAAAATTCGGTCTCAGAGATGAGAAAGGAGACCCGCGTTTTCTCCGAGAATCGTGGTTCGTAACGATCGAAGAAAAGCGGCATATTTGCGTTTCGTAGGGTGGGCGAAAGACGCGCGATTAACGAGGGAAACCGGCGGTCTGATGGAATTAGAGGCACCAAGCCAAAGTGGCAGATGGCGAGGACTTAACCCGGGAATCCTCGAATGGGCGACGACGAGAACAGGCTGTCAAAGAGGAAAAGAAAGTGGAATAAGCAAGGCAAATATTTTCTGGTGGTGCTTTAAGAGCGGCTATAAAGGAGAAGAAACGGTAAGGGGAACTGTGCGAGTACCGCCTTCAGTATCGTCACAAGGTCGAGAAGAACTCTTCGAATATACGTCATCCGCAACGAATTTGGCGAAAATGCCACGCGATCCAACTTTCCCCGACGCGCGATTTTAACTTACATCCGTTTTTTCTTCCAGCTTCGCCTTTATACGCTTTACGATATCGCGGTCATCCGTAAATTTTCCCGCTCCGCCAGATGTTGCGTGGCAATTCTCCTCCAATTGTTCGACGATCTGCGATTCGTTTTAATAGAACGCAGCTTCCAGTCGTTATTTGTTCGCCGCTGTATACGTCAAGGGCCGTTAATTGAATGGGATCTGGAAATCGATGAAAATTCGGCGTGCCAGATTTTCTCATATACGCGCCGATCATCGAGCGTTATCGATTCCGTGCGTTCCCAGACGCGAGAGGTAATTGATAGATCGTGCTCGAAATACTCGTTCCGGCAGATGTCATCGCGAGAGGTGTATCGGGAACTTGGGATTAATCGTCGAGGTCGTTTCGTTCCAACGACGACCGCGTCGGAACAAAAGATCCGATCAACGAGCAAAATGGAATTTCGTAAATTTCATCGCTCTTCCGTGAAACATAAAACTAATTTCGTCGTCGATACTCGTTATTACGCTGGCCGTTCGGCGGCAATCGTCGTCGATAATGAAATTATAATTAATACGACCGGCCAGAGGGAATAATTGCGAAATTTTCCTGCCAATGATCGATACTTTTGTACTGCGAGGATCCGGAAACGGGAGAATCGCTCGGTACAGCCGCACGTTCCATTCCTGCGGCAATTACGGTAAAACTGTCTTTGTCGTTGCCTGTGTTCGACCATGCGACGAATACCTTTGCTAATCCGTAACAATATCATTCGCGTTGCAGGTCGTTTAATTCGGCAAATTGATTCGCCAACTTATCAGGCCACGCTCGTTCGTCTCTCGAGCGCACAGTCTACAGGAACACGCAGCTCTTTGTTCGAAAAATTACGGATACTACGTCGTATATCGAGATATACGGACATTCCCGTTCTTACGTTTACGATAATTAGGAATTCACGTCTGCCAAGTAATTTATTCGTAGTCGTAAGTAATTGGCGATGAACGAGTTTTATAGACAACGTGGATGAGAATTGGCCGACGTCGTCGATCGGCTACACGGGACGAGCACCTTTTCGCACAGTTCCTCCGACAAACGTTTTCTCCGGTGTCGTGATTCGGTGCCGCGGTGGAATGCTATTAGATCTCGCGTCGTTCGATAGAGAATCCAAACGACACCGAGCAATCGTTATCGCGTCGAGAATGAAAATCGATCGTTGCAGGTAAGGCAAATCGCGAACGAGCCTGTGGGAAAATTCCGCGACCACGTTGGAAATTAACGTCACCTTCTAAACTAGTCGCTTCTTGTCGCGTTAACGACAGCCATGCTACCCTTAATACGAACGTATCGCTTAATGGCTCGTGAAACGCGAATCTCGGTATTCGGCAAACACGTTCGCCTCGCGTTATCCCGTCGTAGTCGTCGAATGGCCGAGCAGTCGAGTAAACGCGCGAACAAGAGAAAAGCGAAACGGTCGTCGTGTACACGCGACGTTCTATTATCGCGTGGCCCGAAGCCAACGCTTGGAAAATAAAGGAAAGGGACGAGAATAGACGACAGCTTGTCGATCGGATCGTAGAATCGGCGAGTGATCGAAGATCGTCGTCCGATGGAGGAAAAACGAGGTCGTTCGGAGCGAGGAATGGACAGGTTCGATGGGAGGAAATGTTTGTTTCCGAGGAGAGTTTCGATGACCTCTGCAATTAGGATAAACGCGATCCGAGAAAAGGCCACGTACTCGGCTTTTTACGAGCATTCGTAAGAGCAGCGTACGACGAGGCGAGCGTTTCCGGCACGAGGTGGAAATTATGCAAAATTGGCGAGAGATGCGGCCATCTCGATGTAATTCGTTGGACGATGAACGGCGAGTGTTGGTACGGGTCGCGTAGCAGCGTGGTCGTCGCGATCGGTAATACCGTTTGGAAATTACCGGTTGTAAAAAAGCACATTCGAGAATGACCTCTTCTCTCGCATAACGTCGTGGCATTCTCGGAACTCGAATCCTCCGACGTTTATCAGGCTAATCGATATTTCGGTTACGTCTGTTGGTGCAATTTTTCCGAACCAGCCAACTTTTAATCTTGCGGTGCGGCAACGGCCTCGAGTGCCGTCCGGTTACATCCCCGTTCGAATCACCGATTCGTCGAGGTAGTTAAAAGTTATGGTTTGCGCCTGGTCGTAGAACCAAATCTCCGGTTTGGCCTCGATCAAGCCAGCTGCGATGTCGGCGAAACGTTTCATCCAAGTGTTACACGTACGCAATCTGTTCCGTAGCTTATATCCGAACGATCGATCCATCTTATTCAGCGTGTAACGCGCGACCATATCCCAAATTACTTTTACAATTAAATCGTCGGAAATTCGTAGTTGGGTCGACTCGTAGTTTAAAACGCCGTGGTTCGACGCCAGATGAGATTTCCTCCGCGATTTTTGAAATCCTACGATGCGCGCGAAACGTCCTCCGCGAGCCACGGCGCGCGACCTGCGATTAAAAACTCTCGTGCGAATGATAAATAAGGTCGTTGGAACGCGCGGTCGGCATCGGCGCCACGAGGACGCGTAGTCGCTCGTTTCGAGGAAAAATTACGCGAAGGCTGAAGGTGGAGCAGCTGCTTATTTTCGCGGCACGCTGCTGCGTGCTCGGTTTCCTCGGTCGTTCTCGTCGTCGTCGTCGTAGATTAATTTTAATCGCGCGATACGCTCGGTTTGTCGATCGAGTTCTTTCGCGAAGTCCCGAGACGATCGTACTAAATCGCGAGGATCGTCGATCAAACTGCGTTCGTAAACTTTCTACGTCCGCTCGCGGAATATTCTTTGACCCACGTGCGATTCCACTTGAAAGCGTATCTTTCGTCGGTAATTTACATTTAATTCTACGTATCGCGTCTGCTGCACAGATGGAAGTCGAAAGTTCAAAGACCTCGAAGAAACTCGAGGAGATGGTTTCCACCGTTCGGTTCGTTTATGTCCGAGCTGCTTCGCAAAACGTACGTATTACTTTTAATAGAGACGGTACCTGTGTATTAGCCGTGTAACGCAGGTCGTGACGGTCGAACAACCTCTATGATGTAATTTATTGGAGCGGCGAGTGATTATTTTCAGGCTATGCAGAGGCGATCGTTCGGCCCCCTGAGAAATTGCATTTCCTATCCCGTTCTTTATCCTTCTGACAGAGCCGACAACCGTGTATATTATAATTTTTGACTGACTAGGGCGAAATATAATTTCCGCTCGTCTTGCTCCCGCCCCTGAATCTATAAGAGTTTCTGATTCATCGACAGCGGAAGCGCCGTCGTTCGAAAAGCTTTTACCCCTAGCCTCTTTTACCTTCCTCTACCTGTCCTTCTTTTCCTTCGTTCCTTTTCGACGTCTCGCATCGACTGCCGCTTGTTTTTAACGTATATTACCTTCTTGCAACGAGGTTTCGCGAAATTAATTTACCACTTTTTCCGAATACCTCGCGATCGGTCACTCCGCTCGTACCAATTCGAAGCGGATAATCCGATTACGTTGAATTTTACTGCTCGAATTAAAACGTCTATTACTTTAGCCAGATCGAAGTGGTAGGTCTATCGAACGAAACACTTTCAGACACGTAGACGCCCGATCCTCGTAGCCACCGCCTGTCATTTTGATGTATTTTCTCTTGACCGCGGTTCACCGTCGACCAACGTTATCGATCGATGTCCAGCGATGAATCACGTCTGCCCACGAACCGTTCTATCTCGGTGGAATCGAAGATCGTGTATCGAGGTATTCGTTCGATTCGCCGTGTATCGGGTGCACGGTTGGTAGTCTTTTGTCGGTCTTTCTTCTAACTCGTTGCCTAAACGCCTCGATCGATCGACACTCCGGTTCGAAAAGGTCACAGGCAAGCGACATCCTTTCTATTAGAAACGTTTTTGCGATCGTTTCGAGAGGTAGGTGTACGGACGGTCAAAGAGACTTCGCTTAAAACCATGCTTCGTTCGGTTCGTTAACAGCGTGCCTAACAACGCAGTTCTTTAAAACGCCTGGTCCTTTCGTTTTACGCGAAAAGACCAGGTAATAGCGAGAAATAGACGAAAGAAAAAAAGGGAGCATAGGTGGAACGAAAGGTCGAGGAAAGAGAAAGGCAGGGTCGTTGATAGGACGCCGTTACGGTTATCGAGATCGCAGCTGAAAACGGCCGGAGCTGCGCGTAGATTCACCGGACCTCCGTTTCGCACCACCTGGCTACGATTCACGACGAAAGACGAGTGGGTTGGTCGGTCTCCCTAGATCGCGATAGTCGGTTTCGCAGGTGCGTGCGAGTCAAACGAACGGGAGGGTTCTTCGTTCGACGTAGCGTACGCCAACCCTCTCCACGGCCGAAACAGAAACGCGAGAACCGAGCCCCCTGTTCGCATTGTCAGCGATAATTGAGACCGATTTGCAGAAGTCGTAAATGAAGGCCTGCAGGGCTCGTAAACCGACGGGCAAGGGAAATTCGCGCGATACACGCGACTATATAATACGAAGCAGGGGATAGTTTGGCCGGAAGTTGCAGCGAACGGACATGTGGCAAGCTGAGAAACGGTTTTGTTTGTCACGCTGCCACGATCGTTCGCGGTTAATGGAGAACCGTGTCCAACCAGCTGCGTTACTCGTGCGCTTGCAGGCGAGCAAAAATTGCGCTATTAGCAAAACGCGGGCATACGACCTCGAGGATCGCTGCAAATTCTGTCGATGAAGCGTAAATCCTGTGTGGTCTTAAATAAATCAGCTGTCAACAGCGCGTTAACGACGGATCAGAGTTGTATCAAGATCTCGCACTTTACTAAACTACAGGGTGGATGGTAACTGGTGGTACAAGCGAAAAGGGGGTGATTCTACGCGAAAAAAGAAGTCGAAAATATAGAAGAAAAATTTTTCGTTCGAGGCTTCGTTTTCGAGAAAATCGACTTTGAATTTTCGCTCGGTACGCGTGCACTTTATCGCATCTCGTTATAACGGATCTCACTGTAGATCGTTGTCTCGATGGAAAAAATGAAAAAAAAATTTTTATTTTATATTTTCGACTTCATTTTTCGCGTAGAATCACCCTCTTTCCGCTTGTACCACCAGTTATCAACCATCCTGTATATGCGCCTTGGAAATTCTACGGATTTGTTCGTGGCTGTTCAAGTACGTTAATTGCCTCTTAGGCACTCGCGTCAGCCAACAGACACTGTATCTACGTGCAATTACGTAGCTCGGCGATCGTGCAACGTCACTCGTCCGAGGGGCTCAAAGGCACGTAGGAAATGAGATATTCGTAAGCGATCTTTCGCTAGGAAATATTTTTAACCGTCGCATGTTCGGAGAACGCGCGGAACGAATCGACCGGCGAGAAACAACTGAGAATTTATCGATATTAACGTTACGAATATTCAACGGTCGAATAAAGTACAAACGACGAGGGGTTGTCTGATGAATAAGTAGAGCGCTGAACGGAGAGGGAAGTGGCACGAGTCGGTGCGTTTTTCTCGGTTCGCGACACCCGCCTATGTCGTGCGAAATACAGTGGCGAGTAAGCAAGTACGTAGACGGACAAAGCTGGAGGAATCGATCGTCGCCGACAGAAAGAAAGAAGCATCAACCGTGTCGGGTGACTCGGTCGGTGACTCATGCATAATTTATTTCAACTTAATTAGCGAATGGTCGGGTCTCGCGTGCAGGAAAAGCAACATTTTCCATAAATACATCGAGCCTGTGTTATGCAAACGATACCTAAAATTGTAAATGAAACGTTACTCCGTTATCCCGCTTGCTGGATTTCGTGCGGTCTGTGTATCGATTATGTTCGCTGCTCGAAATCGTTGCATACTTCTACGAGTACAAATCTCGAATACGAATAGCCGAGTAAACCGTAGAGCGCGGCTGCAGCCTTGCACGAACGCAACTCCCCGTATAATATTTGATACGTTTCATTTGAATTTACGCCAGAGATATTATGTTGGATTTTTCGCTCTCGCAACGCTGAATTTCACGCGGTCCAATCGCATCGCGCGGAATTTCCGACGGCGCGTCAAAAAAATCACGAATATTCCGCTGCGAATATAGAATAAAATAGCGTAATTCGTTTTCCGTGTTTCGAGAAGGCGGTACTCGATGCGATTAAAAACCATAGATTCGTCGTGACCTCGGACAAACAACGAATTGTTTTTATTGGATAAAATACGAGCAGAGTTATTAACATGTCGGAAAATTCGAGAGCTCCGTTGCGAGATAATAAACGGAAACAAAGTTTGCGCACTGGTAAGCGAAATTTTATCAACGGAGTCGTTCGAATCGCATCTTTCGAAACCTGGTATAAATTTTCACGGTCGTAAATCCGCGTGCCCGTGTCTTTCGCAAGCCGCTTGCTTTTTCAAATTTTCCAATTTAAAACTTTAAACGGGCCAGTTTCTTCCACGAAGAATTAATTATTCCCGAGGAAAAGATATTTCGCGTAAATCGCGAGAGCGGAAACGTGGTAAGGAGAGAGTGGGAGGAAGTCGTTCGGCGACTTTAAAGCGAGCGTAATACGCGCGAATTTACGAGACGATTTACGGATACGCGACAAAACTACAGAACGAACCTCGCAGGTTCTCGGTGGTCGCGAGAGCCACGGAAGTTTCGCAGATGCTCTCTCGAATTTTTTCTGATATTCAATGCGTTCGGTGTGCTGCGCGATCGCGGTGAGTCCTTGCGGTTCTTATTAAATTTCACTCCGAGCTGCATGACCGAACGGAACTCGCGGGACGAGCGGATAAAAACGAGTCTCGTCGGTCGATCGATTCGCCGTCGAACGATAGGATAGCATCGTGTTCTCGTTTATTCGAATCGAGAGTCGGTTTTCAAAGGACTCGGCTGGCTCCACGCTCGAGAAATCCTCGTTTCCACGTAGCTCGGCTAATCCCGATCGGATCGAGGAACACGCTCTGCGTGGTCGCTTAAATATTTATCTCGCATCGATTCGCAGTTTCGACGACACCGTACACTTTTCGACGATCTTCCTCTACCGTCTACGAGATCCATTACCGACCTGATAAATAGGAGATCTCAAAGACGGTTCCCTAACCGTGCATTTCCACGTTTCCTTGCTCGATCGATCGATCACGCGACGAGTAGGCGTTCGCGTCGCTTCCAACGATCCACGTTTTACCATTCATCGACGTTCCAGCTCGCTATCCAGATAGAACCAACGATAAGACTCCGAGATGGAGACGCGAGCGATCGTGCGAACAGAACGGGAAATAAAAACGATCGTTCGATTTCTGATTTCAGTTTCGACGAGACGTCGATGGACAGCTGTCCGTTGGCAGCGATCATCGAGGCAAGGCCAGGCGATTTGTCCAAGGATGGCAACGAGATGGAAGTGACATCGCTGGAAGAGGCAAAGTCGGTAATAGCTGCGCTTCGAGCGAGGCAAAGAGCACAGGCGCATCAAATGCTCGCCTGGCGAAGGACCCTGAAATTGCAGGTAAAAACGAAGCTAAGCGGGAAGGGAGGGGGGGAGGAGAAAATACATCGTGTGTGCTTCTACCTCGGAACCTTGTCCGTGCTCGTTGATCAAAGCTATTATCCGGTAAAACTTTGAAGAGGAACCCGAGCCCGCTTCCGGGACAAGCCAGACGTTTCGTGACGTTCGACTATTTCCCTTCGGACCTTGCGTGATCACGGACAATCTACGTGTTCGTGGCGGTGCATTCGCGAAAAAAAATCCTCCCTCGAAATTCTGCGGAGATCTGCGCGGCAAATGATCGACAACGATCTCTCCAACCCCAGGAAGCACAGATTACGTACGGCATGGCAAAAGTCTCGGTCTTGGCGCGAGCGATAGAAACTGCTGGAAAAAAAGTAGGAAACGCGAAAGCATTTTCGTAGAGGTATCTTGCAAATGCCGAAACGAGACATCGATCGATCTCCTCTTTAGATACGAAGAATCCGCTGAACAAGCTAATTTCCGACACGATCGTTGTACGTCCATCAAAAGAAAGACGCGGCGGAAGTTACTCTTTGACTTTCGCGATTCCTTTTTATCGTCGAACCTCTCGCGAATTATCGAGAATTTTGAGAATGAGATCAAACTGAATGAGAGTTGCTCTCAAACGGTTGTTTCTCGAGTAACACTGTGCAGAAAACTTTAGTTTATCGTTCGCACGGGATTATCGTTTCTCGTCCGTCACTTTCATCCATTATCGCTTTTATCTCTCGACGATTTCTTTACGTTCGGCTGATTCGATCATTGATCGCTTTCCTGCCTCTAATACGCTCAGATTAATTACAGATACACTTGTCGTTGGACCGAGCGCATCTCCTGGTCGCTTTAAAATTCTGTTGCCACGTCGAACGCGTGGTTCCATGCACGACGGGGAATAAGAAATTGCTGGAATACGACGATATTAATCGCATGCAGACGAGGTGATCGATCTTCCTTTCGTTGCCCAGCGATATCTAGCGTGCGTTCGTTAGATGTACCGCGGCGGCTGGCGCGTGCATGCTCTTCCGACGATTCGGCGGAAGAAGCGTAAGAATATGGATAGAACATTGGGCACGTCGGTGTCGCGCCTCGACGGCGTAGCGCTTTGTATCGCGAAGCTGCTAGAAGGTTCCGTGGCACGTGCCGCCACACAGACATCTACACAGGTCACACTGGTTACCGCACAGAGAGTGGGGTTCGAAATCTCTTCAGGGGCTATGGGTCGCTGAGTCGGTCAGTCTGAGAATAACTAGCCGACTGTCAACATTCCACAACGCTCCTGTAATTTTTGTTTAATAGATGTCACGTAATATTATTTCAACACAAACATCGCGTCTTCCACAGATTATTAATCTCAATTTCGAGATTAAATTCTAACAGAAATTGTCGCGAGAATTAAACTTAACGTAGCGAGACCGACCAAATTGCATTCGGTGGAAATCAACTGGCGAAACCGAATTAAAACGAAGACGAAAGGGAGAGACACACCGCTGGCGAATACAAACAACCGGTGCATCAACGAGCGAACGCGCCTACGTTCGTTTCCGTCAACTAATTCATCGACCGCCACACGACCTCCCTTTATGCGAATACAAAAAGGACAGAAATTAATCAGATCGACGCTCGTAGATACGAGTTAGAGCGACCGATGCGAGTAGAATAATCTCGTGGAAAGTCTCGAGGAAAACGATCGATGGCGATTTCCATGCGAACTGCAGCGTTACAACGACGCTTAGTCGAGGGAAAGATAGTTAAATGTTTGCGACCATGTCGGAGAGACGCTCAGGACAGGTGGAGTAGATGTATAGTAAATTGCTACTGTCACTCGTCCTGTTCCGGCTGCCAAGACGTCGTTTCTTCGATATTAATGCGACGCGAGAACTCTAGCCCTCGTTGCAGAAACTGACCCGTTCCTTGTCTCGTTCCCTTAAATTCTGAATGTCGCGTGGCGCCAACAAACCTCTATCGACGTTGGTTTTTGAAGTTCCTTCGAAATACGTGCATTCATACGTATACGTCGGATTAGGGTTGGAATTTTGGAGCGTTCGATGAACCTTTACTCGATTTACCATCGCGAATATAGCTGATGTTTATTGGTATAAATGTTTTTTTTTTTTTAATATTTATTAGAATTACAATCAATTCTCGCGTTGAGAATTTTCAGTAGTTTTTCTGGCGTGGCGCAGTAACATGGCTAATTATTTATAATAAGTTATTACCTATTATAGATAAGTATAATTTGTACGTAAGTATTATAAATAAGTAAATATTACTTAATTTAAATAACTAGTTGAATCTATCGTTAGGTCGTTTAGCGGGTAGTGTCTCTTCAGCCTGCGGATCTGGTCCGTCGTATCAAGCAGTCCAGTGATTAGGGGATTTCGGTGTTTGTTGACTCTTTTGCTAAATCTGTCGCTATATTTTGCTATTTCGTCTTTGACTGTGGGTATCTTGAGGTCGCGGTGTTGTTTCGTTGGTAACATAATTGGTATAAATGTGGTCGCTACAAGAGACTATAAGTAACAGCGGCGATCGGATGGTCGAGATGTCGATGACAACGAATTCAGGTTCGATAAAAAAATCCACGGTCAACGGGATGACGAACGCGATGAGATAGACGTATAACACAACACAAGTAAACGTACAAAGTAAAACTTACAAGTAAATGTTATCTGCATGAACTGACATGCGGTCCAAGTGGAACTGCCCTTAGATATTCTTCTCCCCGCCTCTCTTTATTTTTAAGGAGAGCTATATAATTATTCCATACCTGTGTCAGGTGCACGTCCCTCCCTTGACCGTGGCTACGTTCAGTGGCCCGTTATGTCAGTTTGAGCCCAAGCACATCGTCGTAAAATCGGATTAGAACATTACAACTATTTCTTAGTTTTATTACTTAAGTGTAGCTATAGTAAAAGTCTGAACTAGGGTATTGGGGGTTTTCCCAACATTCCAAAAGGGAAGCCCCGAACTTCGGGAAAATCCGTAAAATTGTAATTAAAGTTTACAGTTGTAATTAAACAATTTGTCGTCGTTCTACCCAATTCTACTTGTTTGCGATTTGTGATAATAAACTTGGGCTCAAGGCGACCATCAGCCGCCGAACGTAGCCGCGGTCCACGTAGACGGGCTCCTTTCATCTCCGACATATATGTACACGAAAGAGGAAAAGCTACGGAGGAGAATTTCTTTAGGCGAGTCGCGCAAAAGCTGTCAACCTCGTAAATTGAATAGTGGAGAAACAGGAATTTACGATTAGTTGTACCGTCCTGTTGCGGCATAAGCGTATTTCTGGTAGTAAATCGTTTGTTTTTTACATAGTCGTGTGTCGCTGTTAATCGCGTCGGTGTCTTGGAAACGGAACCGTTGAATTTATAAAACTTCGATCGATTTTACATTTAAAAAGCTCGGTCGTTTTCGTCGCGTCGTAGCCATCTTCGTGCGGTTATTTCAATTTATACGAGGACGTTAGTCTACGTCGAAGGAAACTCGTGAAATGCGAGCGGTCGTTCGATCGCAGGCTTTTCATGGCGTCGATAATTCGTAAAGAAACGGACAGCGAGCACGCGACCGTCACGAGCGCGAGATACCACGTCGTAACAAACGGTGGAAGAAGCGTTTAATTACGACATAATGATCCGTTATTAGGCGCAACGACCTTTTCGCGTGCGACACACGTGACCATGTCACGGCACCGAGGAAATTTCTCGTTCAGCGTTGCACTATCGTCGCATTTTGCCTATCGCCGGTCTTCGCGCCGCTTTTAGTTTACCCTTCGTGTCCCTTCACGCTCCCGTAAATTTCTCAATCGTCGTCCCACGGACCGTCTCTCCGCGCGCGTGTCGAACTCTATGCGCGAGAGGAGAAACGGGAGAAGCGGCAGAGATCGGTTTGCTGGTCGCGCTTTGTTTCTCGTAAGTCGCAGCCAAGTTAAATACCTTTTCTTTTTTTATTGTTATTAACGCGGAGAAAATCCGCACGGACACCAGGTCGCTTCTGGGGAAAAGCGACGTGGCAGTGAGGGACTCCAACCGACTAAAACCTCCACGATGACCGTCCCGGCTGCGATCGAGAGGGGCCCTGGAACCCGTCTGAACGACACACCGGGCCCAAAGTTAAATACCTAGAACTCTACTTAGAGAGACGATTTGCATGGAAGCAACGTACCAGATCAATTATAGACAAAACACGGATAAAAAGAAGACAGATGTACCGGCTAACCAGTCGAAACTCTAAACTCGGAATGGAAAATAAACTAAAAATTTACAAAACGATGATAAAACCAATTTGGACGCGCGGAATACCACTACGGGGGGCAGCAGCAACGAGCTAAGCAAATAAACTACGATCTACAAGCTGTCTAAGCTACGATCGAAGATACTCGGAACAATAGTCGACGACCCATGGTACGTCACGAAACGAGGATATACGCAAAGACTTGAAAATACCAACGGTCAAAGAAGAAATCGGCAGGTACGCAAAAAAATACAGGAAAAGAACGGCGACACATCCAAACTATCCGGCTGCTGAATCGAGCAAAACTCTCGTAAAAAGAAGATCGAAGAGAAAATCCCACTGACCTCGTTGAAGAAATAAAATAGACAAACTCGAAGATGGTATCCCGCTGGGGGTAGCCATCCACGTGTCAATATTTAGCAATAAAGCTAGAAAAATTTACCCAATGTCCAGCTGGACGTATCGTAAAGTACAAATTAAATAATAAAAATAAGAAGTTGGAGAGATCATGGCGCGCGTCATATCGAAAAGAAAACGAGAAAGTCCGCTGGGAGCCCGTTGTCCGATCGAAGCCGAAAGGACAATTCTCTTTTTCAACGAGTGCGAGAAGCGCAACGAGAGACTCGTAAATCGATGACGTGCGCCGTTGAAGAACCTACGATACTCTACCATTTACGCGAAACAATGCCGAGAGTAACGGACTCGTGCTGTTTTCGTAGAAAAGAAAGAACGAGGAAGGTGGCCGGGTCTATGGTCCGCGCAAAGCACCGGACGCGTTTCGCATTTCGGGAACGCCGAGCTTCGCGAAAAACAGGTTTGCCGGATCGTCCCGTAAATCGAAGCCGACGCGACAGAAAAATGCGACAGAAAAATTCCCGAGGACCCTGCGTTTCAAATGTTTCGCGTTACGTACTTTTACCGGCTTCTCCTATTTTCTACGCGGACCTGTCGCGCGCCAAGATCGGTTCAGCGAAGAATTAAAACTCGAAACTGGAAGAGATTAAAACTCGGACACTGTCGTGGCGGCTACGAACTTTGATCGAACGAAGACAGAGACCGTTGAAGGCAGCGAGGACGATCGACGATCCAAAGACAGTTTGCAACGTCGAAAACGAGGTTCCTGGCGCGGTGACAACGTCGGACCTCGCTCGAGTTACTCGAAAATTGACAACGGCGCTGGACGTTTATAATTCAAGACGGTTGTCGGACGACGTCGTGACATCGGCAAAGTGTAAAAGTTGGCGCTCGAGCGAACGGCGAACTTTGCTGGAAAATTTGTTCCCCGAAGTACCTCGTACAACGAAAATGAGATGTAACGAAGAGGTTGCTTTGATAGACGAAGATCCTTACGTACGAAGAAGAAGAAGACAGGGAGGGATTGTTTCAGTTTCTTGACGATAAATACCGACCGTTCGCGATCTAAGTTTTAAACGTAGACGCAAAACGTTCCTTTGGTCCCAAATCGTTGTTATCGTCGTACAGAAACCAGGCCCCGACCGTATACGTACAATGTTACATATATCGCGTGGAAAACGTTCGCTGTATTTAGCGTGCACGCGGTTAATCGAAAAGCGAAAGAGAAACAAACTCGATGATACCGTGCATTGGCATAATGCGTACGGTAATGCGGTCGGGACAAACCCTCGGGATCTCCTAATTAATACCACATTAATAGGCAAATCGAAGATGCCTTGCGACTGGCACAGTTGCGCGTAGCCGCGACGCTCCCTTTCCCCGTAGGGTACGATCGTTGGACTAATTACGACGACGACGAACTCGATGCATGCAAATTCCATCATTATCGATTCGCAACGGTTTTCTTGCGAATCTTTTTGCACGGTCGGTCAGTTTCTTTTCTTCTAACGCACTGCCGGAAGATTCTGGAGAAAAAAGAAAGGGTCGTTAATCAAGCGATTCTTATTCCTTAATTATCGATAATGAGCTAACGTGATTAATCGTTGGTTGATTACCAGCGGAGAAGAGCGAGCCGAAGCTCTCTCGACTAGTACAAATTGCTGATTAATTCAACGTCGATAAAGCCACGCAGAAGTGGTACGTTTACCACGGTCTCGAAACTGCGCAGCGGTGGCTCGCGCGTACGTTGCGTGAATTCGCCAAAGTCACTCAACGGGTGATGTAATTGTTTCAGGAGGACCTCGTGGCACGGCTGACAAGGGAGAAGGCAGAGCAGCTACGGACATTGTCCTCGCAGCTGTTGCTGTTCGAATCGAGGCTTTGTCGAAAACAGAAGGAGATCGAGGCTAGTCTGGCGCAACGAGAGTCCATTATTCTCAGACAACAGAGGGTGATTCGTCAATTGCAGAGCAGATTGGCGGAAAGAAGTACCGGGACGAGAGATTCGCCACCTTGCGACGCTCTGGATAGATTGGACAGTCTCGGAGACAGCGACAGCGCCGTTGTTCTCGAGGAGGCGGCGGACGACCTAGCGCCACCGAGGTAAGCGTACGCTTCGTTTAAGCGAAACACGCGCGAATTTTCTCTCCCTTTAAACTGTCGTTACGTCCATTTTTGTTACGTTTACCAGCGAAGCTAAAGATAGAATCCTTTGGTTCTACGCGATGATTAAATTTACTTAAAAAACGAAACCGCTCGTACGATTTGATAGACGCGAAATATCCGCACGCGTTAGGAACGATACGTTTGAAAGTTTTCGAGTAAATATAAAATATCCTTCGCAGGTTTCGCTCGAACATCACCGATGTGACGGTGATCCGATCGGTTTCGGACGCGGTCGAACCGTCGAGCAAGTACTCGTCGATGCGACGATGCAACGGTTTCCTGAGGAGACCGGAGATCTTGGAGACCGTTTACTCGGTGGAGGAGGACGGAGACAGCGAAAACAATCAGGACCCGTCCGAATCGACGGAAAACTCGGAATGCGAGGAGAGACGGGCAAAGAACTTGGGAAACGGAAAGGGCAGACTTCAGGATTTGTACGGCAGCTTCGAGAGACTCGCTCAAGAGGCAGACTCCCCGCCCAACGAGAGACCAAGGGACGAAAGTCAGCAGGCGCAGGTAAGAAGATCTTTTTGTCCGAATATCCACTTAGTCGCAACCGTCTTTCGTATCCACCGTGTCTTCTTTCGACCTTTCCGTTAGTCTATTTGCGTACGCGCTATACGCGCCGCTATCGAACTTGTTTTGTCGACTCGCGTTCGAGCAACGTCTTGAAACATACGTATACGAGAATTTTCTTCTCCCTTTGAGAATCCTCTTTCCGACTTTTCATCCTCTTCGACTCGTTTATCCGTCCTATCTTCTTACATCTTTACTATATTTGCGGTATTTTCGGGATCCTTTGAAATCAAACGTTCGCGCAACCGCGTCCATCGTACCGTCGATTCTTTCTCGCAAGCCAGTCGCAATTCTGAATCTCGTGTTTTTCCAGGTCACGTACAACAGGGTAATGAGCAATCACCGATCAGTGACGAAGCCAAAAGACGTTAAGTACAAGAGGATAAACAAGGCGAAGTCGAAAAGCCTGGAAGAACTAAGGGGACGACTGAGAAATTGGGTGGAGAAAGGGAACAAAATCGCTATATCGTTGGATCAATCTTACGCCTGAATCTCTACTTTCTGAAAGTATATTATAGAAATTGTTGGAAACGGCGATCGAGATCGATCGATCGTTCGTCGTCGTGCGCGCGGCAACCTCGACCGTCAACGATATGGTGGACGTCGACGCGATCGATCGCCGTTGTATATTTAATTAAATTTCTCATCGCTCCATGTGATATTTACCGTAGTGTCTCGAGAATTAATTAGAAACTTTACGCACCGCGGAATACGTTGCGCGTGGACAATTTTAACATTTGTGATATATATAATGATTTTATGATAATGCAACCACGTTGTCTAGTGATAATTATCGTCGTCGCGATCGCGGAACGGTAAGAGAAGTAACGCTAATGGAGGAGAACGAGACAAGATAATCGAGAATATTTGCTAATCGCGTAAACGTAACTTGTACTATGGCAATCTCGCGTTGCCAAATTCTCTGGCGTACAATCTGCATCGTAAATCGAAATTGCCTTTCTCACCGCGAACGAAACTAAACGCGCGCCCGATATAACCGAGTCGTAGCTTCCTTCCTTCCTTTCCACGCGTTCGCCAAATCGTCAATTACGACCACCGTGCTATATCCATCAACTGACGCAACGTTTGATCTTCCTCGAAAAAGAGAAGAGCATACGCGCGATCGCATTGTCCAACGGACCTGAGCTCGATTTTTTTATCTATAAAAATTGCTTAAACGCCGGTCACACGCTATATGTGGCTCTGTCGCGTCATACTCCCTTATCTGCCTGTATATCTTCGCCTATACGCAAAAAGAACAAACGGAATAAAAGCTTTCAACGCATCATACGCGAAACTCGTACGATATTCTCGAGCATCTTACGAGTTACGATATCTTCTTTCTTATGTCGTTCAACGAACATCCTACATTTTATTCAGTATCGACAAATGTGCCACTCTATCTACTTTTCTATTAAGATTTCGTAGGGCGAACTTGCTCATCGATTCTATCGCCAGGCTGATCGAAACAACCGACACTGTGTACCGTAGCGAAAAGAGACGCGATTCGAGTTAACGCGCTTACCGTACTCGTAAATATCGAAAATTATTATCGAGAGGTAATACTATATGAAATATGTGTATACTGAACGATAAAAGCTTCAAAAAAATCACGGTACTTAAAGTATCGATGAAAATATCTTAACTCGACCACTATATTCTGTTACCGCAATTGTTTCGATCAGTCTGGCTAGTGAATTTCTTTAGATAATCTTCAAGATTATCTGATTTAATCGACCGAAGATAATCAATATCTATATACGTATATGTGATGCATTTATCGAATCTAATGCAGCACGAATTATTTTTCGAGATTTACGAATGTCTTTTCGATGCGATTAAAAAATGTTCGTAAGACACGAGTTACATTGTAGCATAATATTTTTCGATCGTTCTTTACGCCGTACCAACGACACGAACTCGACACTTTATTTATTTATCGACCATGTATGTGCGGCCGTCGTCTAACCTTTCTGTCTCATTTTATTCAAATGAGAAAACTATTCTTGCGGGTACCTGTGTAATGTTAAAAAATACATAGAAACGTTTTCTATTTCGCGTTCCGTTCGAGGCGAATTTATATTTAACCGGTGCGTTCTCGAACGGGATAAGGGTACAAGAAAACTATCGACAATCCCCAATTTTGAAAAAAAAAAAAAAAAAACGCAAAACATATTCTATTAGAGAGGAATCTACAGACAGTTCTTTTGTAAATAAGATGAGATGAAATATATATATATATATATATATATATATATATATATATATTATGATATGTAATAGCTTAAGGTTAAGACTCTTCGGAATTCTGCAAAAGATTATCATGTAGATAGCCGCGTTAATAAGAACAATAAATTTTAACGATAGAGAATCAAGTTTTATGTTCCTGTAGGCTGCATAACAGCCATCGACAGATCTCGTGCATAATATATTTGCGCGCTTATAAATACATATACTTATAAATAAATCGCATATAAATATATAAATATATATAAACGAAATACTATATGAAACTGTAATTGAGTCTACTTTGCTAATGACGAAATGGGAATGAGAAAAGAAAAAAGTCGGAATAATCTGAGCAAACTGACACTGATGAATCTGTGGTATCGTATTTACAGATGTTCCAATATACGCGTGAACAATATAGATGCTACAAAACTGATACAGATATCACAAATGGTTTATAAAGAAAGTCGACTGTCGTTCTAATTTATGTAAACGATGTATCGTGTATACCATCGCTTTCTTAGAAAATTAGTAAACTGCTACCGATATTAATAATTACCGCATTATTATTTTAATTATTATATTAAATCGCAAATAAATTATAATACAAAAACTTGTTGCGTGTGTCATTGTACCCTTTCAATTTCAAGCATGATGCGGAACCATGGAATTAAACGATATAGCTTTCGAAATATGATCTTGTTTCAATTGCAATGTCGCATATATTCGTTTAGCTCTAACGATTTGTTTAGAATCGTTACCTATCTTTCACAGATCTGAGGCTTTCATACATCCTACCTATGCATCTAATGATTTCTTTAGAATTACTAAAGTTGTGGATTAGGTTTTTCTTGATTTTCTTGATATCGATGAAGTAATATTTTCTGAAATATTGTAAAAGCATAACATTTTATACTTCCTTTACGACTATACGATCTATCCTGTTCTATATTTTAGTTATAATTTCGTAAAGACTTAAACCTACGAATTTCATGGAACACCTTTGTCTTATTTTAAACCGGTGTGTGCCATTGACTAAATATAGAATAGACCTGAGTCTGCTGTCTATTACTATACCGTGTTAAGTCGATAATATCGCATGTGATACGAAAATGGCAAGGGAGTGAAGTGACCTCCAAAACGTGAGACACGAAAAAGCATCGCATGTTACATCTATCTTGTACCTCGTTTGTGGCGCTATTTTAGTATTGGCGCGTTTTGAATCGTTCTACCAATCAGATTGAATTTGGTAACCACCTTCAAAACAAAATAATATGGCTGGTATTACGCATAACGGAAAGTTAACCGGGATGCGTTAATAAAATTTTATAGCGATCAAAATCATTTGATCCTTGTTAGTGACATGATTATTGTGCTCATCCATGTGATCTATTTCTTTGGCAAGTTTGTATATCAGAATTATCGAAGCAAAAGACAAAACACAATGGATAATGATACGGTTAACATGGAGCTAGGATGCAACATTTCTAAAAGTGATTGTAGAATGGTAGATCCTGAGACACCTCAGACTTTTGAAGAAAATATCAAATTTTTCCCGCCGGCGTACATCCAAAGATATGCTGCTGTCGCCGATGTACTTAGTAGTGAGAGATATCGAGGAAAATTACGCAAGGTATTCCGCTTTCATATCTTCGCAATAACTTCACACGTGGATTTTTCTTTATTGCTAGAAATATACTTATAAATCTTTCGCGCTATTTTATATATGATATAATACCATTTATTTCGTATTACATGTTTGATATTTGCAAACATGGATTTAGCAAATTTTTAACAGATAATAAAATGACTAATCTCCTTCTTTGTTTAGATCGTTGACTTTGGATGTGCAGAACTTGGTTTTTTAACACACCTAAAAAATACAGGAGGCATACAAGAAATATTATGCGTGGATATTAATAGACCGCTTTTAGAAGCTTATAAAAGTAGAGGTGCTCCCTTAGTATCTGAATATTTACATAGAAGAACCGCACCTTTTGTGATTGAGATAAGCGAAGGTTGTGTTACTCAAAATGACAAGAGGCTAGAAAACACAGATGCTGTAATCTGCATAGAATTGTAGGTTGCTATATATCGTGTTGTTTTTAATTTTACTTTTCAAGCGATAAGAAACTCGTATAATATTATTTCATAGGATATAACGCATATTTTAACGCTTTAGGATCGAGCATTTGTATCCAGATACTTTAATAAATTTCCCTTACAATATTTTTGGCTATATCAGACCAGTATTGGTAGTGATAACAACTCCAAATGCGGAGTTTAATACATTATTCCCAAACTTTTCTGGATTTAGACATCCTGATCATAAATTTGAATGGACCAGGCAACAATTTCAAGATTGGTAATGATTTTGATTTTCTGTTTAATCGTAAATTTTTTATTTATTTTTACTGTATATACAGGCTGGTCTATGAGTCGGTCACCACACTTTGCGAGCCTTACCCGATGATCTGATAAGAAAATGTTTTGAATAAAAATTGAACAATTTTCTACCGGCTACAAAATACGGTATACAAAATTTCCAAAAATGCTTTTTTCGACCAAAAGTCAAGGTTACGTTATTTATACTTTTGTAATGTGCACATAATGAACATTTTTCTCCTTGAGACGTCCGATTTAATCGAAGTAAAATTATTTTTAACGGTAGCGCCCTTCTCGATTAACCATCGTTTCAATATTTAGTGTCATTTTAAGGTCATAGTATAGAAGGTCGTTATAAACTCGTATTAACATCAACTACGGCGGTATGAAATCAAAAATACGTGGCATTCATTTAAAGAAGTCAAGGTGATCTTGACTTTTTCTCGAAAAAACGATTCTTTCGGAAATTTCTTGTATTTTTAATTTGAAATTTGTAGCCGATTTAAAGGCGATCAATTTTTATTGAAGATATTTTTTTATTAATTTGTCCAGTGTCTGAAGTATTGTGGCGATCGATTCATCGGCGTATCAGCCCGTACATAGCAAATAATCATACATGTCATAAACGTAATTTCTGTTAACAGGGCTCAAAATATTATTTTAAGATACCCCAATTATATAGCAACATATCATGGGATTTGTAAAGGCCCAGAAGGCTCAGAACATTTAGGATGTTGTACTCAAATGGCTGTTTTTCATCGCGTCGGTGAGAAGGAAGAAGTGTATAGCCCTGGCATTGAAAATTTATTTAAAGTTGTAGCTAGATACGAATACCCGTTTCAAATAGATAATCGCTCAGATGAAGAAAAGATTGTTGACGAAGCATCGTACTACATTAGACATTTATCGTATCAAGACGATATGGAAGAAGAAGTTCCATTAAAACTAATATTAAAAATGTTACATACGTTTCCAATTACTATGGATGAATTGGAAACAATTTTAGGGGACGCTGGCTGGGCAATTGAAGAGCGTGAAGATGGCCCTGTTGTCTTAGTACCACCACCTACTACGTATTCTGATACTACAGTAGGTGGGCCTCTTTGGAGTAATGACATGTATGCTTCGGAGGAAGATGAGTGGAATATGGAATCCGAACAACCTATAAATTACAGCAGAGACAGACAAGAAGAATCGGACAATGAAGATTGGGACGTAGAATCAAGTATCGTTATACCTGCTATGTCACAAAATAATTCTACGCTTGAAGACAATACTTATCTTTATGACGAAAATGATGTTTTACACAGTAATGAATTTGAAACGACAAGAAGTGCCGAAGTTCCTGATAAATACAGTGAAATTAACAACGAAGGAAATATAGATTCAATACTTGGCACAGATAATTTCAATAAATCATTTGACAATAATGATCCATTGTACTTAAATGAATCAACAGAATTATCTGATTCTCCCGTAACAAGAAAACTTAAAAGTTTGTATATAACATCGGACATACAAGATGATGCTATATCAGATACTGCACAAAAACTTAATTGTACGTTAGATCTAGTTTACATGTCCCTTTCACGGGCCTCTACTTCGCCTGAGCCATATCTTTTACACGCCGTTAAGATGGACCAACAATTAACAAACGATAGTATATGTAATCAAAGCATGAGCGACCACTGGATGTTAAACAATTCGCTCCAACAGGAAAATATATCAATTAACACCATCGCAGATGTAAATGATGAAGAAAGCAAGAAATCATCGTTAAAATATGATCTTGATGGACATGATCACCTAAACGATATTTATTCAAATACATTATATAAAGAAGATAAAGATTCTGACAATGATACTAACACAGCAGCAAGTACAAACCCTATCGATCTAAATCAAATGCAAAGTATCCAACAGAGTAGTAATGTCTCGGAGCATAATTGTCATCTAAAAGATCAATTGCAATCAGACAATAGTATAGTTTCTGTTAATGATATTGTAACAGACAATCAACCACAGTTTACAAGTTCACCAAAAATAGAAACTAGAGCAAGTAGCGTGGGTAAAAAACGAAGATCTCTTGATTTCAAGGAGGAGGAGAATAATACTAATTCGTTAAATATATCACAGAAATGTCAGTTCACAAGCCCTGGTAGTAATAATAGTAGAAATGAGGTACTTTTACAAAGTAATATTGATACAAATATAACTGCTATGTCAGGCATTAAACCAAATACAATAGGAAAAAGGTATGGTAAACAAGATACTTCTATGTATCAGAATGATACGAAAGTAAAAAGTGGGAACGAGTTAATAAAGAACTTTGATCAAGATACACTTAATAGTAGCGATACAGCAACAATATGTCCTACATTAGATGATAATAAACAAACAATAGAGGAATTGCCTGAAACGAATTCTTTAAGTAGTAACAATGGCACGAAAAGTAACGAAATATTACAAAGGGAAATTACAGATCCTAGTGCTACAGAAAAGTTGGTAAAGGAAGAAAAAGAACTTCCTGCAATAAATAAAAATAACATACAATCAGTAAATTGTGATACAAAAATTCAATTGACGAAAAATTCAATTAATGAAAAGACTGATCTAAAATCTGAATTACATAATGATCATGATTTAAGGAGCGTTGTTACCGAAATGTTTTGTAATGATGCCAAAGATACAAGAGATATTGAGTCCACATCAGTATTAAAAAATGAGAAACAAGATGAATGTAACGTAGAGAATCGCGAATTGAAACCTTCTCCAGAAACTGTGGAAACACCTTCAAGTAGTTGGTCTCCGGAAGTAATAGATTCCGGATATCCAAATAGCGCTTCCGCTCAAGATATGACACAGGAATACGCTCTATCAAGTATAGCGCAAGGTCATATATCCGATTCTGAATCCCCAAATATAGCAGAAGTTCTAAGACCCGAAATTCCCGATGAGATCGAAGTTGAAAACGGTGATCTTGCAAATAATAACAGAGATGGTGAAGGTAATAATATGATTGCTGCAGAATTAAACGAGCTGGAAGACTTACAACCCTTCATTGAAGTACTGGAAAATGATATTGAAAACGAGAATGATATTTATGGTATAGAGAATGACTTCCCTATATGGTTGCTAGGAATATTAAATATGGCCAACCCAATTGATGTGGACATAGGCATGCAGAATCACAGGGAATTGATGTTTCCAAACAGAGCAGCAGGTAATTTTATCAGTATATGCAAATTGTCAATAAAGATAATGATTGATTTTTATATAAACAGGTGACAACGCAAGGTACGTAAATATGGAACGCGATGAAGGTTTTGATAATAGTTCTGAAGAGAATAGCGATTTAGAAAATAATGAAATGTAAATGATGTTAATGAAAATGCGCTAATGAATAGTGTCGATGACGATAATGAAAATGCGCTAATGAATAATGTCGAAGACGACAATGAAAATGCGCTAATGAATAATGTCGAAAACGACAATGAATATGCGCTAATGAATAATGTCCAAAACGATAATGAAAATGCTTCTAACCGAAATAGTGAAAATGAACAATGGGTTATAATTACACGTAATACGCGATATTGTTGAAATAATAATATAGATGATTTCACATATCACTTTACAATATGTTTGCAAGGTCTGAAGATAAAAATTTGAAGGTAATTATTTTTTAACAGTACATACATGTGTGTATTCTGATCGTTCACTTATGTTCCTCTTCTTTTCTTTTAAATGTAAATATATCTTAGAATATTGTAAAATCCATAAAAATCTTTCAAGGAGCTTGTTACGAAAGTTTCTTTTTCTTCCTTTTATATATATATATAATATAAGAGATGAATTTTTTTTTTATTGTCTTTTTTCTTTTTTTATCACATAGAAATATTCGTGATACACTCGTTTTTCCATTTAATCTATCGAGAAATCAATGTTCTTGTAAGTAAGCATAACACAGTATTTCAGTATCAATACATCTGTATGCGATTGTATACTAGTAATAACATTTGCTTGTTACTACTTGAAACATTAAGACGTCGAATTTAAAAAAGATATATATTTTCTTACGATTTTCAAGACTTCTCGTCATATCATTTTTAAGTACGTAAATAAGATTTGTGATGCGCTATTTTATCTAGATATGCTTTATGAAAGTTTATCAATATGTTACATTTCTGTCTACTCGCACTTATTTAATAAAATGCCTCATTAATTTATAACAATGTTTCCTGATAATATATATGTTGAAATCTATCTAAGACTGAAATGGCATTTCCATTTTAAACAAATAAAACATATCACATATCCTCTAATAACTTTTTTCAATACATTATTATATTAATTATATTATATTATATTTAAGAACCAGTACTACTAGTTGATATTAATGGCATAAGACACTTAAGAAATAGACAGATGATATCTTTCTTTATTTCAGTAAAAGTGGAATGACATTACAAGGTGTACAGTGATACATGTGTAGTAACCTAAAATCTTTACATGACTTGTTAGTAATTTACCTTTATATATATTGTTTTTTAGTATTTACAGAAAGTACATCTTTTGTTTCATACATCAGATGTAGGATTATTGTTAGCTATTGTACGAATTTCTAAAGTGATCATAATCTTCGCTTCGAACGTGTATATGATACGTAGTAAATGTTACGTTAACAATAATGCAGTTAAATTATCGTCAACTGGGAAAAAAAGCAAAACAAAAATAATCATTACCAATCTCTTCTATAAACTGTACGATGCAAGGTATTCTAAATCGATAACTCACAGTACAAGAAATACAAAATAAATTAATCAGTAATTCCATTAAATGAATGGCACTAATTAATACACACACATACACACATTCACACAAAGCTAGATTTACAAACTAAAATATCTTTTTAAACATTCTTGAATATTTACTCGGTCTTATTGTTCACGTAACAGAAATGTTTATTACACATTTGGTTAAATTCTAACTTCAAGTAGTGCCTTGACATAATTTATGGCCTTAGATCTAATTTATGTGGATTCTGTCAAAGCAAGAGACAAATGATAATTAATATACGTTTAAGCATCACACGCCCGTACATGTCGTTTACTGATTACGAATTAATCAAATTTTCAAAAAAAAGCAAAAAAAATGAAAAAAAAAAGAAAAGAGAAAAAAGAAAAAAAGGAGATTAAGGTAAACGGAAAAAATATTTTGCATTGTAAAAGACTATATCTAGTCTTATATTAAGTTATTTTGTTCAGCTGCCAATGTACCTGCAAAATGTTGCAGTATTATTTAACGTGATTATTAATAGCATCAGCAGACAATAAATTGCATATAAAAATTAAACAATGTGAAATGTTTCTCTTTCATGTAATTTATGTTACTCGTTACAATTTAAAATTAGTTGTAAGACGCATACATCAATAAGTGTCATACATATTCTTTAATCAATAGCCCTAGATATACCGATTAAAATAAAAGTTTAATAAAAAAACGCATATGTATTTATAATTTTGGAATGTCATTATAATAAATCCGTACAGAAAATAAATGAAAATTACAGAAACATTATTTGCTTTACATGATCCAATATACTAAATGTGGAATCTCTGATTTCCGCAGTCTGTTACGTCTGTTAGTTGCCTGAGAGAGAGAGAGAGAGAGAGAGAGATCGATAGATAGATCTGTTACGTCTGTTAGTTGCCTGATGCCTGAGAGAGAGAGAGAGAGAGAGAGAGATCGATAGATAGATAGAGAGAGAGAGAGAGAGCTATTTATATACAGTAAAGTCTATAATAGTATTTCTATTTTCCACGTCTTAGACTAGTTTCATACAAAACGTAGTGAACTTATCGCTAACATCTATTGTAATCTTTTTTTGCATCTCCATATGTGCCCTATCACTTAATCAATTGTTTAATGTAGGACTTCCAATTTCGTGCGAAGTTCCTTATTAATACATAAAAACCGGATTTCAAATAAAATTAATAATTCACAAACCAAGTTTAGGTAAAAATCAATATACTGAAACGATTAACAAATGTAAACAAGTAATATCAAGATTAATATCAGAGTTGCAGGATAAAGCTGACATCGCTAAAAGCACGCGATTAATAGTGCACGCGAGGAACCTGACGTAAAATATACCGAATGTATATTATAAACAGGTCAAGTAGAATACTACATGTAATCATGGACGTACATTGTGTATTCGAATTTATATTTCAAATAGGTCTTTTCTCGTAATATACGAATTCTTCCAACACTTCGCCTGGTTAAAGTAACTTCGTTTGAATAGACGTGTATAATATATTATAATTAGGTTTATTTTTCTACTTCAAAATAGCGTCCCTCGTTATATTTATGCACTTTAACTCGAATACTTACTGAATCACACAACTTCTTTAAGATTATCACGAGTCTCGCGATTACGGGAATGTATCAAATGATGCATTTCACCTCCGGGTGCGCTATCTCGTCTAAGATCTTTCATTAATGACGGCGCTATTACTTCTCTTTTATTCGCTGCTTCTTTTATACTCGACAGTGTCTTACTAAGCCATGGCCAGCTGTTTCTCGCTGCTTGAAGTTCAGAAGCAGTCGCATGCAATTGATGTGTTAGATCCTACAAAGGAAATTAATCTTACAAATGTAATTCTAGATAATATCGAGAATTAGTAAATAACATGCTTAATTACCTGGTTTCTACATTCAGCTTCAACATGGGCTAGCTTTGTTTGGGCTAACTCCAATTCTAATTCTCGTACTCTCTCCTGCACTCTGTGCAACATAGGATCTATTCGGTTTTCTAAAGGGTGTGCAATATCTGCTAATATATTGGACGAATCCATTATACAACTTTTACACTTTTCACATTTCGAAACCTTCGTCTAAAGGGTAAAATCATTTATAAATTGTCGTACAAGAATTCCATGAGAATTAAATGTTTTTTACTTACTCGCAATTCACTAAGTGTTGTCTTTGCAGCATTATAGTCATCTTCCAAACGTTGACAAATCTAAAATAAATATTTCATCTATGATACAGTACAATAAATTCAATAGTTTCATATGATAAATGTGATCATTTACATATACGCACCTGTTTGTATTCAGCAATAATAATATTGCTTCGCCTACTTTCCGCATCTGCTCTTGCTACTTCTCGTTGTAGCATTTCCTTGACTTGAACCAATTCGGCTTCTAATCTTTGTTTTTCCTCCTCATTTCTCGCTACTGTGCCCCGTAACTGTTCTACTTCATTGCTATATTCATCCGCATTCTCTTGCGCTTCTACGCCATAAGAAAAAGTTACACGTTAGCGTTTGAAGCAAGTCTATATACGTACATTTGTATGTTTCTGATATTTTATACAATAAATATTTATATTAAATTTATAGTTTTATAGTAGGATAAAAATATTACAGTATTTGTAATTGTGATTATGTAAGAAGCTTACAAATAAAATCTTACTCTCTATCAATGTCTTTATAGTATGGCTCATTCCGACAGTGAAACATTGGAAACGAATGACTTTAACGTAATTGGCCGACATACGATATCTTGAAAAAGCAGATACCACCACATATATTCTCTATGCAGAACATACCATGGCCAATTTTAAACTGCTGGCACAGCTGTTAAACTTATTAAATATGTTTGTTGCCTGCTATAGCTCATAAATATACAGATAATGCCTCTGATAGAATTTAACGCGTTCAAGGTATAAAAAATCGCGAACAAATATAAATTTACAGCATTTAATATATAATAGTTTTAGGATGCCCTGTACATACTCGTTATTACTGTACCTAAATAAGATGATTTGTGCGCGATAGCATATTTATCATTTTAGATAATGAATTTCAATATTTATCAAGCCTTGTAAGCCTTAACAACTTTGTATACAAATTCTTGCTAAAATTCCATTAGTATTACATTAGAGATGCACTAACTTGCAAACAATTTAATAATAATATACCTAAAGTATAATTTATTTGATTCTGTAATGAGCAATTGGTAAAATAAAAGCTATAAGCTTTCATATAACAAATATAAAACATTGCATAAAACAATTGCGATTAAAACAAAAAATGAAACTTTTTCATAAAGTGTGAGGAACAGGGTATACACAGGTAAGTTGACAAAATTAAAAACGCTATTCTAAATGGACGATTTATTTCTAACAAGAAAAAATAAATAATTTTTTTTTATAAAAATTGATATACAAGACAGTATACAAAGCAGTATGGCTGGATAAGCGCGAAAAAACGTTATTATAAACAACACAAAATTATAAAAATTTACAAATATTACAACATAAATAATTCAATAAAAAAATGAGTATAATTTTTGGACAATGCTTTTTTATAACAGCTGATTTGCGCTTCGTTAGTTTGTACGAAAGAATATCAATTTTAAGCATAAGAGAATCAATCAAAACAGAAAATGTATCGATCTTGCAAAGAGTATATTGCTATAACATAGTAGCTGTGATATTTCAGCCAGTCTATCGAATCTGAAAAAATTCTGTCCAAAATTTACAACTGTAATCTCTTATTACTATTTCGTCTTTCAAAAAGAAATTGAAGGGACCTCTTTGGAATTGACATAAAATTGTCTCACGGCAAATATACATGGCAATAAGAAAAAAATAAGAAAAGTATTTCATGATTTGTCAACTGGTTGAAATCTCATGTTTGTGCGTAACTGTTACTGAACTAATATTTTATCAACATATGTACACAGCTTGTGGTTAGCTTGTTACGAAGATTGACAATACATTCGAAAAATTATACAAGATTAAATGGAATACCAAACAGAAGTAAAAGAATCTGTTTATGAGTAGAAGAAATATTTCTTCAAAACAATAAATTTCATTAAATTTTTATCGAATATCTACTACATAATTCTTGATATACCAAACTATATTAAAAATTTTATTCCACAAGTTCGTATTATGCAATAAAATGTTTTCCAACAACGTAGATCATATTGTAAATATCAAATATTTTTTACAACTATTCACTGAAGTGTCTTTACAAGACTATGTAGGTGGACATAATTTATGCTTTGGTATATAAGCATGAAATTATGTCATGCAAATGTAAAATATATTTATTTCATAAAAAAAAACTAGATTGGAATTAGGTCATATTATAAGTTGCCAATTTTCTTCGAAATTAGTACTAGATAAAACAGAGGTATATTATTTTGATTTTCATTCATATTCTATGTATACTTTCATCGAAGTCAATGAAAAGAGTAGGTATCTAAATGTCGAAATACGTATTTACATTTCAATTCTAAAATATGGCAACAAAGACGAACGTGTAAAGCTTCAGCACAACAAAGTTAAATTTATGATCGCTCGACCATTTTTTTCATCTCTATGCAGACTATACATGCATATAAAAGAGTATTGTAGTTTGTATTACTTTCAGATGTACTAAAAATTATACATGTATTTGCGTGATTCAAACATAAAATATGAAATTACCTTTCAGTGTCATAAATTCCGCTTCATACTTCTTTAATTTCTTTAAGGTAACTGAGCACGCTAACTTCATGACATAGCGCGATATTTCTTCGTTTCGACAACGTTTAGGTAAATGCACCCGAAAGTATTTTAATATACTCTCAAAATCTAATTGAAGTAGTTCCTTTTTGCACAACTATAGAAACATAACATTTTTATAAATGATATATTCTGTAAAACGTGTTGCGAGTTAAAGACGGTTACCTACCATTAATAATGCGAGAGCAACCTGGAATAATGTATCAAGTCCTTGTAAAAGGAATACGTCCAGAATATGGAAAACAAGATAAAGTGGAAATCTGGCTGTAAAAAGAGTTAAAAACCATTGTGCAGCGAACATATGTGTTTCTACACCACGATCGCAAAAATGTTTATAAAGTTCTGGCAGCTGGTCCTAAAAGTACAATAATAATTGTAAGTAATAAATATTGTAATTGTCCGTAATTAATTAAAATATATTACGAACCTCTATTAATCTATTAAGCTGATAAAATCTCATATGAAGGTTGTCAAATCTATCCTTGTACAAATCTCTTAGACCATAGTCATACATTAACTTCACCAGAACACAAAAAGCTTGTTCCTCCGGCATCTATAAGAAATACCTAATGTTTTTCTTGTCATTACACACCCTAATAAATTACTATCAAAAATGCAGATATGCCTCTTACAAATGCCAACCATTGGATGCCAATTACTTACGTGAAGAAGTAAACTAGCAACTAAAAAGCTAAGTCCTTGGCAATATCCAACTTCTTCATCGTACACTGCGTACGCTTTACTTATTCTGTACAAAGAATCTTGTCCCAAACCACCTGTTTCTTTGAAAAAGTCATGGGCAGGAAATGTTCTATTAATATCTCTTAAAATAACACTCTCGCAACTGCTTTCCTATAGATGTAAAACAATATAACTATTATATACGTTTTCTGTCACATACTATTTTCGTTTACCTTAGTAATTAAAGTCCTGTATCTATCCATCATTTCTTGTGAATTATCGCAATTACTTAAACGTTGCCATACTTCTCCGCGTAGTGCTTCAGGAATACCTTGCTTTGTAAGTTTTATAAGAAGTTTTGGACGTTGTTCATTAACTTGCCAACTGTCTAGTACTTCTGCCCAACTAGCTAGTTCGTCTGCAGAACAATCTTTTGATACTTCACCTGTGCCACTTAACATCGGTTCATCTCCATCTGTCAATATAGAAATATAATCAATATACTTTTTATCCTTCTCATTAAATAAAATAGTTAAATATCTTATTTTAACCTGAGTCTATTTCCTCCTTGGGTGTAAGCGTGTCAATGCTAGTTAAAGAAGGAGATCGAATCAGTGATGCTAAATTAAGGGCGAGATTTAATCTGTTTCTATCCAGCTCTCCCGAAGTTTCTATACTTTGTACTTCATAGTGAACTTCCGTACCATCTCCGGATATTATCTATATAATGATAAATACGCATGAAATTTGTGACATTAGAATGAATAAAGAACTAATATTTTGGATGCCTTACTTCTTTTGAGTTAAGGTAAAATTGTTGTACAAGATTCCGTTTATTAAAATACCAAAATCTTTCATTTTGTGGAAATACTTTAACTAATGTCTCTATTATAAACCTGACGGGTTCTCGGATACCACGTATTACTAAATCAACAGCAACTGTCATATAAATTTTTCCTTCTCTTGGGGTTTCAATATTGAGAGTTTCTAAAGCTGGATCTGCAGGATCCCAGTGACCACATATGTTGTAACATTGTTTATCTTGAACTAGTGGACCAGCATTAACTTGCTACAAACAATATCATTTTTATTATTATTGTAAGACCAGAAGCATTATTGATTATAAATATCTGGCTTTTAAATAGTGAATGTTACCATTTCAAGCAGGCGCATATCACTATGTTTAACATTGCGTCCAGGACTAACAAGGACTCCAAAGCACCTCTCAACTTCAAGAGTAATTCCTCCTTCTTTGCTAGAAACTTGCTGAATACTTAAACACACTTGTTTAGCTACGTTATTTCGAAGTTTAAAACAATTTCTATCCTTAGGAACTATACTGAAACCTCCTTTTCCATCCTCTTCTTTTATTTCCATTGTTACTTCAAAAATAAATACACGAGAATTAGTTTTTTCACTTCCAATGTTAAACCCATTGAAATCACTTCCTGTTAGAGAGCTAGTCATCGAACGTGGTATTCTGTGGAAGGCTTTAGAAAAGCAAGCAGAAACTTGTCCTACCTATGACGAATTGCATGGATAATGTATTTTGATTAAAACTTGATATTATCATACAAAAAAACATTGAACATACTGCTTCTGGTATATCGCACCGGAAAACATGACACTGATAAATGGCAGACTCCAATGTATCCCCATGTGACCATGTAAAAGCAAAACATGCTGCGCATGGACCAACACTTTCACCACGCGCATAAAATAGGATTCGTTGTACTTCATAATGTGCAATTGGTTGTTGAGTAGCAGCATCATATAAACTATCATACAAACATAATGATACATGATGTACGATGAAAAAAACATTTTATTACTATTTCTAATAGTTGTACATACACAACAGAACCTTGAGAACTACTTGGTACAGAAACAGATACTTTAATTCCCAAATTAAGGGATTGTTCTGCATTTAATATGTTCATATTGCGCTGTATTTCACATTCTGATTTAGGCGCGTTTATCGTTGCCGATCCCAGGTAGGTCACCCCATTAAAAATAGTACATTCTTGTTGAACATTAGCCAGGGAATTTATTTCTAAATATAAAAAATGATATCTCATACTCTGCAGAATACCTTTTATGGTTGATAGAGAAATAATAATTTGTACCTTCATCAATATAATCTTCTGGTTTCATAATATCCTGTTTCTCAGATGCAACCATACAAGAACTTACATCATAAAATTTACTTTGTCCCACTTTTTTAGATTTTGGTTGATTTTGTTGCGCACTGCTCACAATTTTATAATCATTGCTTTCCATTTTTGAATCTTCTGTCAATACCTATGGATTTTTATCAGTGACTCAGATAATTATTGATATGCAGTTAAAAAGATAATGTACGTTAAGAATTGATATTTCTAAATAATATAGGTATGTCCAAACCTCACGAAGATTATTTTGAAGATCTTCAAAATTGCCGTTATTGGCAATTTTCAACATTGGTAATTCACTGATTAATGTTTGTTGATGTTTGCCATTACCTCTGTCATTTACAAATTCATATTCATCACTTGTTGCCACTGATTCCATTGATTTAACACTCATGCTATCCTCCATAACTATGTCTATAACATAGCATATAATATTACTGTGTTATAATAATGTAATGTATAACATATATGTATATATATACGATCAAATATTCTTTAATTTGATATTTTTGTGTAAAGATTACATGTAGATATGTGAATACATATATATGTACACACACGCGCGCGCACACATGCACGCACGCACACACACACACACATCTTGGAATATACATTCCAATATATAACAATAGATACATAAAGAAGAAGAAAAAATAAAGCACAGTAATATATGAGTTGAATTAATATTAACAACTACACACAACTGCATGATAAATTTAAAGATAAAACTAACTGCATGTATTCACTATACATAGAAGATGCACAATGTTCGCATTCTATTTAGAGAATGTCGTGAAATCAAAAAACAGATATGTTTCCCACAAATGATTGCACTCTACTCACTATATTTCTCGAATGTAATTTAATTTTTATTTTTAATAAGCAGAGAGTACCATTTGAGTAATAAATTCGGGAATGGGAATCCGGGACGGAAGAATTTCACTTGTGACAGAATTTCCTAACAATCGAGCGTCAACCTCATAATTTATCAATACGATTCATTCGAATACGAAGAAAATAATTCAGTGGATCGAGATTGATAAGCAAAACAAGCTTCGCGCGTACAAAGTTCGACACGGCATCGTTAAAAGCACACTAACTCGAATTCATAATGTCGATTTGGTTTGTCAAGTATTTCGGATCATCTGAATTGCATTCTTAAGCGAACTTATTGTGCCTCGGTTCTCGGTGTCGTACGGTTTTAGTTGCCCGCTTCTATTTACACCCCCAGCAAAGAACAGGGATTACCCTCTTGGTGAATCCAAAATTTGAAGAGACACCGGTGCCTCTTCTTGCGTTGTTGTTGATTAAAACCACGGACACACCCCGTTTCCACGATCCACGCATCGATCTACCCACGTTCCAACGATTTTTCCAAGTTATCGGTGAACATTTACATGATTTCGATCACGTCAGAAATAATTTCGTTTGACAGAAAAGGCAACCTTGGTGTCGGCCATTCGAGCACTAAGGTGCCGGAAGTCTGCTTTGTTACAACGAATTGCGAGCGAACCACCTCCAAGCGCGCAACAACTTTGAACTAACTTTAGTTACCGTCTCGCCTATACTTGTTAAGATTCTTTTTCTTAATCACATCCGTAGGTTTTTCTATTATGTAATTATGGAAGAAGAATATATATATATACTAGTTTGTGCTGGAAAAATATTCAGAGATAATACCATTTGAATGGCAAATGTGGAGTTTTTTATCCGATATTACTATCTTACCTATTTGCACATTAGAATAAAATAATAATGATAATACGGCGATAGCGAACGTTTATTTCAAACATTATACGTTCGATGATCTATTTATCGTCTATTTTCTTATATTCAATTAGAGCACTTTTTAAATTACTAACTTCAAGCACCTATAACTTAGTCACGTGAATAAATTCACATGCTGTCATAATATCTGTATACAAAATTTAATAATACATATAATTGCATTCAAATATTTATTATTCTATGTGACATGGTGCAACATTCTACTATGTAAATGACATAGAATCATCAGTTTACATTTAAAGTATTTTAAAAGTGACCGACTTGACGATAATACTTTTTAAATAATATTAATTCGTATAATGTCGTTTAATACTTGAATTTGGAAAACGTATCGACTTTCTTTCTAAACGTCTGTTCCTATTGGTTAAAATATTGCCCGTTATTTCGGAAGTTATTCGATGCTAGCGACAGAATAGTGGAACGGTTTGTCAGAAATTCTTCTGGTCGTTTTGGCAGTGACCAATCAGGAAATGCGTTTCGCTCACCGCGTGGTAATCTCGAGGCCAATAGAATTTCCGCTCGAATATAACTGCAAAGAGTCGACGACAGGTGGAGTTGCAACGTTAGTGAACAAGCTGATATCGAGACGCGTCAGTTCACAGAGGACCTCCGTTCCGTCGGATGTGAGGAAACTTTTTTGTCCGTAAATTTGTCAAGTTCTCGCATCGAGACTTTGTAATTTCGTGGTTTCCCGAAGGAATGATTTTGTAATCATGAAAAGTGTAAGACTGTGCGAGGTTGGCTAACATCGATAAAAGCGAGAACGAGCCGACGACGAGTGAGTACAATTCAGAGTTGATGACTCTCTTTTTTGCTTCTTTTTTGGAACGGGCGTCGCATATCATTGATAATTTCGCGGTCCGTTACGATTTTACTGGCGTCGGGATGTTTTCTTTTTCCGTGCTACGTTACAGTTTGACAGATACACGAGATAAAGCCCGTGCACTCGTTGGAAAGTTATCGGCGAGATGAAAGGAGAGGTTATAAAGTCAAGACGGAAATTGTTCTGCACCTGCCATCATGAGACGATTACTGTGAACCATCGAATCGCGTTGTCTTTCGAATCGTTTCTTGTCACGATGCGCTTCATCTTTTCAACTTGTGCCTCGAAATTGGCGTACCCTTAAAAAAATTGTTGTCACAATACGGTAGATCGCCTGGCGTTGTTTGCATTTGCTCTGAAAAAAATCGAGCTACGTACAGTGTGCCGACGTTATATTTGATGTATCACGGATAAAATCGTTTGACAGGTGGTAGAATAACGTATCGTTGTGTGTTATCCATCAGAAAATTCCGAAAATATATACCCGTTGATTTGTCACGGGAATAGACGATATATCGCTTGTTTATTGTCGCGTAATTTTATCCGTAGAGAAGCTCGATGTCTGTTCGCAAATATCACTGCGAATGTGTACACGTCGCTTCTACCCGTTCCTCGTTCTAGGCACAGAAACGAACGAAAATAATACGAAATCAGATTCGTACGGTGTACACGGTTATCGTTTGTTTCGCGCTTTTTCCTCCCCGCATACTCATTAGTAGGTTATTCGTGGCAGAGCATATTCGTCTAGCGTTCTTCTCGATCGTGTATGCACCTTCGTGTGCATAAACGGTGTGTAGTAGTAGTGACACGTGACAGCCAGTTTGTTTAAACAAAACACATCGGTGGAAACGGGCGCATCCGTGTCATTAACGCGGCGCACGAAAAATAAAACAGGTAGGTGAGATAACGTCGAGAGATAGATTTCGAGACGCACGATTCCTGAATTTTATCTTTTTCCGTCGCTTTTTATATAATATATAATATATACATATTGGCGGTTGCGTGTGATTATGAAATTAAACGATTCGTTCGTAATTCGCGATCTTCTAATTAGGATTGCGTTGCATTATTATAATTGCCAAATATACATTGTCCAGAGGGTTCTGTTAGTTCGGTCAAGTATTTGTAGGCGCGTGGGTTCGTTTAATTCGATTCGAACGAATGCGCTTCTTGTCCCGGGATCGAGCTTCGTCTATATAGTTCTATAGGGTGGTCCATCTGTAACGAAACTGTTACGTTTTTCTTTTTCCGGTATATTTTTACAATACGTTTAAAGTTACTACGCGAACTTGATAATACTTTTTTCCTCGACAGGCGATAAGTAAAACTGGGAGTGAAGTTTATTATTTTTCTATATCAGGCGGAAGTTAGACGCAAATAAGGAGGAAATTATTACGAGTAATTTGATAAAATGAACGTAGGTAATGATTTTTTGTAATTATCAAAAAATATTGTAGAATCTAAGAAAACGTTAATTGCTCCTTGTTGCTGTTATCGGTGATGCATCGATCGATTTCAAGTTGCTCTTTATCTTTGATCGGTCGGCGATCGAAGGATTTCGTCATTTGCAGTGCTTACGTGGAAACTTATTTATTGTAGAGACGATAACAATAAGACACGAACAATCAAAGAAAGGAACAAATCCGAAGGTCTGAAGCAGTTTCTAAAAAACTGCCTCTTATCTTATCGTTCTAAATTAAAACCACGCCTCCTTCCTCCGAGTATAAATATTCTAATATCATTCGCGCCAAGTAGTATAAATTTTTCCTCCGCATTTTGTGCCTTCAGCCTTGCTCCAGACTGTTATCGTTTCGTTGCAACTTCAGTTTTATTTCAGTGGATCGCGTTAAATTCGCTTTTTGCTCTTCGTTAACGAGCAACGAGTTCGCGTGTAAAGTTTTATTCGCTCGTGGACGTCGTTGTTGCCCTCGAATCAAAACTACTTAGACGAACGTCGTTCAATGATCTTGCACGCGCGTAAGTTCTCACAGGACAGATCAAAAGACAAACTTCATTCACGATCGTTCATTTCTCAACGCATTTCTCAACACGTTATAGTTTCGCGCGATTAATTAGAGACGTTGTTAGATTCTCTTTCGCCAACGTGTATACGTCCGGTTCAAGAAACTTATCGTTTCAAACTATGTCTCCAACTAAGATTTTTTAAGCCAAAGTTAGTTTTTACTTAACTTTACACCGCGTTCGATTTCACGCTATCTACACAGCATAATGACACGTGTATGCGATAGTATTGTTGGTGCAAACGATATAGCGAAAAATGACTTTTTGTACTACAAGTCGGATCGCGAGATTCTCTCATTCGATCCTCGATTGGTGTAACGAACCGAATCAAAATTGACAAGAATATTTAAGTATATGCTTTATTTGAAAGAAAGATGGGACACGCAAAGAAGCAGGGGATTGCTAAAGGAAAAAAAGATCATCGTACGAAAGAAATTGACGAAACGCGTGACGGGTCAACTCGTCTTCATCGGTTAAACGTCTGATCGATTTCGTAGCTCTGCTACGTCTGTCTCGCCAACTATACACCGCGAGTTCGGTGTGAATGGTCGGACGTGATTGACGAAAGAGTCATCGAGGGCCGTTAATACGTAATTCGTAGTATTAGGCGGAGAGCTGCGGTGGTCCTGTCGAGTGCTGCGGTCACCTACTTCGCAACTTGAAACCCAACACCAGGAAGAGTGTGCTCGTTTTCGCTTGCTCGCGTTCCCAGCCGCAATTAGCGTTTTCAAAACAATCGACGTTGCGCCGACGGCGACAGGTCTCGCG